TGTTATGGTGAAGGGTTACAGTGGGCTGGGTGTGTCATCATGACTCTTTTAGCTCAAGAGAAGAGATTCGCTTCTTTGGACTTCTCTTATCACTTGCTTCGTGTTCATGAGTTTGATGGACAAGATGGAAATGTACAAGGAATTGTGAGTGACAAAGAAGAGAGGAGAGGATAGAGAAGGAGAGAGAGAGAGAGGAGAAGAAAGGGTAAAGGTGATTAAGCATCTTTGGACTTTGGGTACTATTTTTCTTGCAACGTACATATATTTATTACATTATAAATACAGTATCATTTCTTTTCTCTCCTTTTCTTTTAGGATCTCAAGCAGATGATAAAGCGTATCAAAGTCTATCGTGATCTTAATAATCAAATTTTTGTTATATTAAACAAACATTTATCTAGCAGTGATATACTTCAGAGACAAGTTAGGGAGTATCAGCCTCCAATATTCCAGGCCACTCAGGCATGAGAGTATGGGAGTATGGGAATGAAATCTTTATGAGTAAACTCCTAGTTATTATACTTGTTGTGATTAGTTTGTGTTTTTAATGAATCATTGTTCTCTTGTTATTGAGAGATTACTAAGTATTATAATAATTAGTATTATTCTGTTTCTTTATATATTATCTAGTGTCAAAGTAATTGTTTTACTAATCAATTGATATTTTTCTCCTTACTGTGTTGCTTTATTTGGTGGTCAATGACAAAGCACTTTGTGGGAATTTACATGCATTAAACATTAATTTTATTAAGAATGGGAACATTGACATTCTTCTTATTGTCATTTCAATTTAATTCACAGCCCTATGAAAGCTGTTAGAGGCATTTCTATAAACTGCTACATATGCATGTAGATCTACTTTTGCTTTTTGTGGAAGATGGATCGAGATGATGACCCTAAGGGTATCTCTTTTGACTATTTCTTGGATCACAAACCAGTGATAGACCAAATGATTCAACATGTTGATTTGGGTAATGCTTGGATTGTATTTGGATTAGTATTGGTTTTGGAAAAGAGAAAGCTGGATCAGTTACTTAATAGTCCAAATTTTAGTGATAAATTTGTGGAAATTTTTGAACAGTGGCTGAATACCACCTCAATTGATGGCAAAAGACAACTACTGGAAAATTTGAGAGGCCATGTACTCAAGCCTTTTGCTGAATATGAGAAGAAGCTAATGGGTTATGAAGCAAGTTGTAAGTTAAAAATTAAGACTGTTGATTTTTTCAACTTTTGTA